TGAGGTGGCGGCGGCCGTGAGGCGGCGGCCATGCCGCCGTCGTACCGCAGCCGAGCCTCCGCCGCGGCGGGCCGCGGTTCTTCCAGCCGGGAGCGCTGGGGGGGGCGGGCGCTGAGGGGAGCACCCGCCTGGGGGTGGGCTGCTGAGGACCCCCGTCCCTTTCAGTCCCCGGCTGCCTCGGCGAAGCGGAGCAGGAGGAGGCGCTTTCGCGGAGGCGGCCCCTCAGCACCCGGGCTCGCCCTATCCCTCGCGGGGCCGCCGGCGTCTCCTCAGGGCAGGGCGGCGGGGAGCCTGCCCCGGGCTCCGCGGCGCTTCCCGGCGGCTCGCCTTGTGCCGAACGACTCGGGTGCCTGGCGCCCGAAGAGGTGCCGAAATCTCCCCGCACCCCCAGTCGTCCCTTTTCCAAGTCATGTTTTAAAAATGCAGCTTGTTATCGCACCTGCCCGCGGTGGGGCTCTGCCGCCCGCGTCGCCCCGCGCCCGCGGGAGGAAACGCACGATCCTGACTGAAAAGTGCGGTGGAAACTCACCCGGCAGAAGAAATTACGCGGGCACCGGGCACCCTACCGTCGGTGTGCTGCTGGCGTTTGGGTTCCCCCTGTGTCTGACACGCCATTAGGCCCTCTTGGGAAGGGGGGGTGTAGATGGTTAATGAGGTAATTTTGATATTAAACAAGCGGTTGGAGGACTTTTTTTCTCCGTACGCGCGAAATGGGGCTCGCTGCAGAGCACCTATGTTGCAAATGAATGTGCGCGGAGGGGAGAAGAAGTGAATACTGAGAGTATTTAATTTTACTTCTACATTTTTGTGTTTCTGATGAGACCAAATCCCGTTATTGGGTGTCTTATTTTGAAATGACCAGTGACTTTTTCCCAGCATTTTTGCTTTAAAATACCCCCCACCGCTCTGTATAGTCGCTTTGTAAACACATCTTTGCTCATTTCCTTCACATGCTGCACAGATTTTGCCATCTGAGGATGCTTTACCTTTTTGTCATAGGTTATTTTTTTTTAATCAGTACACGCTACTACTATTTTTAGTCTTCATTGTGCGTGGAAAATGTATTATGAAATAAGTTGGATGTAGTGCAGCTGTGTAATTCTCTAAAGCGTGGTGCCGGGGACTTGCTGCGGTCTTCCCATTGCTTGCACTTTCGCCCTTGATGTCAGCATTAAACACCAAAAAAAATCCATTGCTGTTTCAGTAAGGATATCTTTTGAGGTTCGATGCTGATTGTGTTTAAATTGCAAATCGGTGACGTCACAGAAAGTGGGTTTGGCCAACTTTAAACAAAATCTTATTTTTGGCCCAGAAGAATTGTATTGTGGTCAGTGAATAATTTGTATACATCAGCAGTAGGTCATCCTAGATGTTTTTAGGGAATGTTGCATGAAAGTCTGTAATCACATGATTCTTCTGGCATAGGAAAAGGCATATATTATATATTTATAAATTTACACACATACGTGTAAAAAAACTGCTGGCCTTGGTCATCCACTTGAAGCAGAGGATGGCTGTTGGGAGCCTGTTCCTGTAGGTCACTGCAGGTTGTGGCTATGTGCAAGCCTTGTAACTGTTGCTCAGTCTTATCAAGTGTGAAAAGGGGATGTTTTGTTCTGCATTACAAGGTGTCATGAGCCAAATTGACTAATAATGGAGCACTGGCAATGTCCAGCAGAACGGGGTATAGAAAGATTATGCATGGTATGCACAATGCAGTAGATGAAGGATCTGGCTTCGTAGATTTTATGTGTCCATTTTACACTGATTTTTTTCTGCTTACAAAGCTTTTATTGATGCTGTTAGATAATAAGACTTTACCGAAAATACTAAGCAAGTAAGATGTTACATTTTAACACAGTGCATCGGAAAATGTAAATCCAGAAAATGTGTCTAGGGTGTAGAACCAGCAACATTAAGGGGAAAACTGAACTAATTTGGGGGAGCTAGAGAATTACCCCCAAAATGACAATACAAAGCTCACTATGCTGATTTGGAGGACCCTGGGGATACAGGTAGACAATATTGCTTAAAGTTTTCAATTACTATAAATAGCCAATGTGCAAAGCAAGCAACAGGGCAGAACTTCAGCCTTGGCAGAGGGCACTTCTCCCTGGGAAGCAGCACTTTTTGTAGCTGAAAAAAAGTCAGCACACTTCACCTTCCACCCTACCCTACATACGGTGCAACGTGAGCTCTCTGTAAGTGTGTTTTTGGTTGGGGAAGGTCACTTGTGAGCCTGATAGCTGCAGTATAACTGAAAGGATTCTTCAGCTTTCCAAGATGGAAAATCAGGGAGATATGATAGTGCTGTTTTTCTGAAGGCTGCCCTTCCCCACTTGTTGTTTTGGGATTGTCTATCATAAAGAACTGGTTCTATGTTGGAACGGGAATGTTTCTTAAAAGTTTGCTGTGGCAGGACTCACCACCAGGTGGAGATTTTATCCATCAACTAATAAGTGCTCTTAGTTTTTGTTTTGTTTTGTTTTATTATTTTAGCATATAAATGATCTTTGCAAAAAGTCAATATTATTTTTACTTTTGCAATAGTTATTTTAAGTACCCTTTGGTCCAGCTGAAAGCAGCCTGTGGAACAGAGTAGCTTCCTCAACCTCAACATTTTTACATTGGCTGAAATTTCTGGAGGAGGTGATTCCCTGAAAGCTGTTTGTTCCTCTTTCTACTTTAGGTTTAACTGCATGCAAAAGGTTGCGTATAGAATATATATCAAATTCACACTTCTTTGCTAAGGTCAGGTTACTGTTTCCCTAAGGCAAGGTTTCAGGACAGTATTGGCAGAAGATACAGCAATCCATAAGGACTGACATGCTTCAGTAATGCCACTGAAGGAAGGGGGGGCGGAAAGGCAGAAGGGAAAATGTTGTCCCCCGGCACTGGTGCTACTCCATTTTTGCACTGACTCCTGAAAATCCAAGGCAAATGCTATTGTACTAATAACAATGATTTTTCTGAGATGGCATTTGTGTGGAAGGGAGATTGAGGATTTGCAAAGCCCATCGCGTGCCTTCCTTGCAAGGCATGCACAGCCTTTAAGCACAGTTTTCAAAGCAACAAAATGTTTCCAGCAAACGCATGACCCACCTCCCACCCCAATTATTTTCATTCATTTTATCTGTAGCTATGGTTCAGTGGGAAAAATTAGTAAATTCCTCAATTCTCATAGGGAATATTTGCACCCCTGAAGTGAAATTCGGCTCTGCCATTCTGGGACGTTTCTTAACAAGTGCACATGGCAATTAAGTCATAATTCGATATACAGTGGAATATAAGCTCATACAATTTTTTTTTTGCCCCAATAGTAGGTAGAACCCCACAAGACCTGTTTTTGACAACTTTTAAGGAAGCCAAAAGTGTCCAAATGCAGAAGGATTCACTGAGTATTACTGCCCTCTTTTGCTGGATGTTTGTTTCTTATTGTATGACATGATAAATGATGATGTGGAGCTTATTTTTGCTCTTACTGTTGAGATAATACTCTATTTGAGAATAAGCTCTATTCATATAATAATTTACAATCCAAGCCACATAAAGCTCTGTTTTGTAACTGAACTTTGCAAGGTTAAGCTGTCATTAGAAATTGTTAAATAAAAGACAGGAAAAAAATTGGTAATTTTAAGTAACTTGAATATAAAAAGATAAATGGATCATTTGGAATACTTTTTGTTCTTCCAAAATTTCTAATTGTAGCTATCAAAAAATGGAATTGAACAAATACTTGAACCACCAGATTATATTGCGCTGATAAAAAATAATTTAAAAAATGACTTTGTCATCAGATGCATGGGAATAACTCCCAGGGGCTTTCATTGCAAGCCGGCTGCTGTGTATGTCAGAGAAATGTGCTAAACTGAAAGGCAAGATGATTTAGAATTTATAATTTTCGGGGGGGGGGGAAATAAAAGTAAATACAAGGTGTTTATAATATTGCCACTTTATAATCATAAATTACCTCCCCAAATTGGTTTAAAAATCAAATATTAAGAGTTTTTAATGGATTTTTGCTTGTCTGTTGTTTTCTAGCTGTCCTGCCTTTCTATATGGTCTAAGAACTTAAGGTTCTTAAAGAGCATGTGGGTTTATTCTTATTTTGCATCATATTTGGTGAAAATAACAAAATAATGTACCTTTAAGTTGTGGACCATTTAAAATTGTGTCCTTAGCAAGAGGAAGGATTTTGTTGCATATCTTAGAGTTAAAGTATCCCTGGGAAGATTGCTTTTCCAGGAAAAAAAGACACATCCTCTCACTTGTTCTGCTCACTGCTGAGTTGATTGCAGACTACGCTTTGGAGTTGAGACAAAGCAGAACACAAGTAGCTGTCTGGTTGCCAGGATGATTTTGACTTCTGCCAAGTTT